CATAAGACAAATACCATCTTCCATATTAAAATTGAAGAAACTGAAAGTTTTATCATTATGTAATGTGAAAGGGTCGCCATCAACAAATCTTTTGCCTCCGTTGCAAAGTTTAACCTCTTTAAGAGAATTAGCTCTTGTATACTGCAGTTTAACTGATGATGCATTGCCCAAGGATCTCGGCAGCCTAATTTCCTTAGAAAGGTTAAATCTTGCACGCAATCACTTTTGCAGCCTACCAAGCCTCAGTCGTCTTTCACAGCTTCAACTTTTGTCTTTAAATAAGTGCAAAAATGTTCATGCAATCCCAGATTTACCAACAAATTTGAAAGTCTTACAAGCAGGTGGCTGCATTGCATTGGAAAAAATGCCAGATTTTTCACAAATGTCAAGTATAAGACAATTGTATCTAAGTGATGCAGGCAAACTCACTGAGATTCCAGGCCTGGATAAGTCATTAAACTCCATGACAAGGATTCATATGGAAAACTGCACTCATCTCACTGCCGATTTTAGGAAGAACATCCTACAGGTCAATCCTTCTCTATCTCTCTCTCATATATCTTTCTCTTTCTATCACATACAACGCACATGTACACATGCATGCATAAGAATGTATTTCTTAAAGAAATTTGGCTTTACATGGTATAGGGATGGACTTCTTGCGGATATGGTGGCATTTTTCTCAGTGGAAATGATATTCCTGATTGGTTCGACTGTGTCCATGACGATGATATTGTGTATTTCACTGTGCCTCAAAGTGTTGGTCGTAATTTGAAAGGGTTAACTTTGTCCTTCGTTTACTCTTCAGGCTTATACAGTTGTCGTATTAGTCGTATTAGCATTAAAAACATGACCAAGGGCACTGAGCTTGACGCCAGGATCATACCCGTTCTTCCAACTGAGGGTTATTATCTTTGGCAGGGACAGTTATCAAATGACGAGCTGAAATTGCAAGATGGTGATAAAGTCTTGATTGAAATAATAGTAGCGGAGGACGCATATGGTTGGGAGAAGGTGAGCGTGAAGGTGAAGAAAACAGGTGTTAGTCTGGTATGGGACAAATTTATGAACGAAAATATGATTGATTACCATCATTGTGCGTATAAACGACGCCTATCTCAAAATCTGGTCAATGATGATGACGTCATTCATGTAGAAGATGATCATGACATGACAAAATCACCGGACTTTTCAAAATTCCCAAATCTCGAGAAGTTGATATTGAAAGGTTGTAAGCGGTTGTATAAGGTTCACTCACACATCGGGGATCTTGGAAGACTTTCTTTGGTAAATCTTGAAGGCTGC